CACACACACACACACTCATCATGTATACACACTCACAAGTGCACGTTTCCAAATCCTTTTTTCCCCCTTCTCTAGTCCAACACACTAGTCGGCTCAGAAAAAAAGAAACCTAGATATTTAACACCTTGGTTCGAGGAAGTCAGCATTCTGATTAATTAGCATCATCATCATGAACTCCACCCCCACCACGTTCATAAATTATACTCCATACATGATGTATGTCTACTATGTCACTTGGATTTGAAATAAAGGAAAACATGAGAACAAATACAACAAAAAAAACGTCAAAGCTTACATCCAGTTCGACCGTCAATCAATTATCTTTGGGTGCCCCAACCCACCCCCGTGTAATAAAGTTAAAACAAAAAGTAAAAGCACCTTGCGAACTTGCCCACAGTGGTAATGTGTATTGTTCTCTTTTTATTCAATTCCTGAAGTCGAGCCTGGAGATATTGAGCACTAACATTAAGTACACTAGTTAAGTGTGTGTGTGGATGTTTTAGCCCTAACTTCTGTTTTAACCCTTACAACCCCACTTAGGTATTTCTCTCGACTCACAGGGCGCCTGCCAACTCAGACTCGGTTGCTTACTGAAAAATATTTTACATTTATTATCATCTTGTAAGACTAGCTTTGAAATTCCTTTAATGTTTGCTGAAATTACAGACAAAATTAGTATTGACTGGTGGGCCAATGAGTCAAGGTTCAGTATTACTTTTGGGTCAGATGGAAGTGAAGCACTAAAAATAGCCTGGTCTTGTAAAGGTTAAAATAGGGATAGTAGTTGTAGCAACTCCCCCGGGTTACTACTGTGCGAACTGATGGCAGTGTGTCTTACAGACACCCATAATGAAATTCATTATTTACAAAGAACATGATAGCATTTATGGGCAATTTTCAAGACCTAATCTATCTGGCGACACGTTTTATTCACATTTGCTGGATTTGTGTAAGAAGGACAAGAGTTCTAATTGAAAGGTTAGGGCTAGGATTTGATTTTAAAAAGAATGAAGTTAGGGTGCATGGCCTCTTTCTGGTTTTATAACGGAATTGTCCACGATAACAATAACTCTTATTTTATTATAATAGTAATTTCATGCAGAGAACAAGCTCTTTTATTTTGAGATCTAATTTCAGGCTTTTTTTAAATTGTAGCTTTAATCCTTTTAGGAAGTCAGGTTTTTCAACGTCAATTTCTTATTTTAAAGTCCAGATGGATATGATATGTTGAAAAAGTTAGAACATTTTAAATTTTGTTTCATGACCTCATCTAATACTATTTTCCTACTGTTTAGTCTTGACTCTAAATAAAAGAATGTGCTTTGAAATAAGTTGACAGAGAAGAGGCGTGTGTTAAGTTAGATTTTAAAGTGCTGCTTATATCTTTCCTTTTGTGCATTTTTAAGTATGCATGATGATTCCTGATATTCAGTTGAGCTAAACAACTGATTCCCTAGCATTTTTTTTTCTGTACTTTTATAATCATGTCAACAACTTTTCTGCTGTTTTTACAGAAACTAGTCGGCTCAGAAAAGTCAGTGAGGATGAGAGAAGCATTATATTATCCCTTCTTTTTAAAAAAACTTTCACGGTATCTGTTTTTTTTTCTTCTGTGTTTGTAGGAGAATGATGCCTTTTCAACTGTCAAGGGGTCAAACAGCAGGAAACGAGTGAAAAGGTCAGCATCCGGCTGTAGTGTGGGAAATTTTTCTCCGTTGTCCACTGCCGTGGTGCCTCAGTCTCACAATGTTTCTTTCACCGGTGTTGTCAAGGGGACTCTGAAACGTCATGTGTCATCGTGTGTTTTAAAACATAAGCTCAAGAAATTTCAGGTAAGTTGGATGTCACGTTACAAGTTGTTTTGTTTTTTTAATTAACATTTTTTTTATAATACTTATCTTTGTAATGATGAAGACCGGCATATTTTTAGATCTGAAAGAAAGGTGTTAAATCCCTAATTAAGAAAATAATGAATATGTCATGTACTCTGAATGTTCTCAAGTTACATATAGAAGGGATCTAAGTTTTTGTAAGCTTAAATTGAGTCTGTTTATTAGATCTGTATCGGTTAACAACTCTTCACATTTCGTATACTTTGTATAGCTTTAATTCTTTCTTTAGGGTCTTCATCATAATGTCAGAAATTTTTAATGTTTGCTCTGTTTTGTTTAAGTTGTAGACAGTATTATTTGAGGCTTTCTTTTGATTTTAATTGACATGTAATTATGTTATATATAGAGAAAGAAATTCTTGCCCAGTGAAAACTTAACCGGTACGTATTTTGAGGGGGGAAATCTCTTTTCGTTTTTCTATGCCTCTCATAGCCTCCTTATTTTCACAGGACTACTCCCTTCCTTACAAACATGACGCTTTTGCCATGTTGCGTGAAACCTGCAATGTTCGCAAACAGCGCACCAGTCCCACGAAGCCCCTGACCAGGAGTCAGACTTCAGCTACTCCACCTCCAAAACCTCCAAGGCAGAGGACTCCGAGAAAATCTACTCTCTCTGGCCCCAAATCTGGTGGTGCTGAGAATTCTCCTGTCTGGAAGTTGCGTCAAGAGAAGACCAAACTAAAGGAATCGGTGAGTTTTGCCTTTCTTGTAACAGAATCTTTTTTATTTACAGTCTAGCACATACATAGCGAACTTTGCAGGACGCAGCAATCTTTTTGTCATGTTCGAATTTTGATGCTATGTAAGTGGGTTAAATGCAAAGAATATAATGTATGAGAACAAAATTTGGGACCCGAAAATCTTGTAGCTTTATGCATGTTCATTATGTGCATGCTAGACTGTATATTATATGGTTTTTGTTTAAAATGATTGTAGTAACTCAAGTTGGCTTTAAAAAATCAAAATAACCTTCCTGAAGCATCTTGTCAACTGATTATTTTGTTATTATACTGGCTACCAATCCTCATAAAATTACAACATTGAGGTGATAACTTCTATTATTGCATGTCTTGTTCATACCAACAAGTTGTTCTGGTAGACCCAGTGTGTCTGTTTGAAAACTAGCATTAAATGATCGGAAATTAGAGTGTAATGATTTCTCCGTTCTTCTTTTCCTTCTATGATTTTTGGTCTGTTCTTTCTGATCCAACAATTTAGAGACCAGTACAAGCATAAAATGTGCTTTGTGTTTTATTTAAGCATTGCAGTCTTGTATGTCTGCGAGTATCAAACATCCTTGTGTGCGAAAGTTCCTGGCAATAGTCTTGAATACTTTTCTGTGGTCCTCTTTGTGTATTTTTTAAAAATGTTGCCATTTTACTGCCCTGTTCTGTGGAAGTGTGTACACGTGTGTGTGTGTGTGTGTTTGCGTATGGGGGGAGGGGAGGGCAGAATCTTTGCAAATTTCACTACAACAGTCACTGCATAATAACATTATTGTTGTTATTTAATTAGTTTTGTTCAGGATGCCTGTCAGTTGTCTATAGGCGAATTTTATATTATATCAATGTCAGTGCAAGACGCTGCACTTTTCCAGTCCTGATGAACGTTTCGCCTCGATTGTTTGCATCACAACTCTGGGTAAATGGAGGACTTTAAAAATAATATAGTCTTCTGAGTTGCTCCTTTATTGCAACAGCCTGTCCTTTATTAATATGCTTTTGGAGCTCCTTTGATTACGTATATTTCTTTTTTCTTGTTATCTCCCCTCGTCAGACTTGCGCTCCAGCTTCTCTCTCTCTCTCTCTCTCTCTCTCTCTCTCTCTCTCTCTCTCTCTCTCTCTCTCTCTCTCTCTCTCTCTCTCTCTCTCTCTCTCTCTCAAT